CTGTTCCGCTGACCCATCCAGGGCGCACCGTGCCTACTGTGCACATGTGCTGCTCAGATGTCCTGCACATGCTCAGCAAACCTGGCACGCTCGTGGTGCCTTGGTCCTGTAATGTGCGTGCAAATCAACTGCGCAGCACATGGATGACAGGGCACACACAGAAGTCCCAAGCAGAAACCTAGCCTACCTCACTGGGGAGAGAGAAAAACATAGGCTTATTTCTATCTGTGTCCCTGAAAGCTGAGTAAACTGTGAGAATTCTCTCTCTCACATCTTCTTTTGATCCGTAACTATCTGTAAAGCACAGGGGACATCACAGTGGACATATCTTCAATTCAAAACCAGTATGTAGGTCAAATGTAAATTAAATGAATGTCTGAGCTTGTTAGCACATAGATAGTAAGACCATGGTACTACAAAGTACTATAAAGGTAAGTCCAGGAGGTTTTTCTCTCTGTTTCAAATCTTCAAAGAAAGATATATATGCACATCTTTTCAAAGAAACTTATTCTGTCCAACTGTCCCCATATCTCGCACTGGAAAATTGCCTTTTAGAAATAACGATTTTAATGTTACTAGCCTCTGAGTAAGTTTTAGAAGCACAAAAAAGCTAGAAGAGAAGGAAGACTACAGCAAACAACCTTTAAAAAAACCCCAAACCAGTAATACTAGACTGGTCAGCCCCATCACTTTCACAAGGGCTTGGTGTGAAGGAAAACCACACCAGATCTGACCAGCACCCAGCTTTTCAGCGCTGGAAATGGGGCATCTGACCCTTTTCTCTGGTTATCTGTGTGCACTACAGGAGACCACTATGTGCTGTTCCCTCATACGACTGCGTATCTGACGATGCCATTGTCATCCCTTTGAACTAAAAGGTGTATGTCTGAGAATTACTAGGGCTATGTTACTGCTCAGAGGTTTACGTGAAATCGGAGACTGTTCTCGGTCCAGTTCCGCGAGGCAGCAGTCCCTGGCAGAGCTGCTTTCTCCACAAGGGCGGACAATGCCATACTGCTGTGGACAGCAGGATTGCAGGGGGGTCTGCAGCGACTGACCAAGTCCCTCACACGTCTGACAGGGTAGCAGGTTGGAAAGGTGAAATTTATATCACTATTGCCCACCTCTCACCGGCAGGTTGGAAGGTTCAAAGAGACCTGTTCTCTGTGCTGGCAGCCCTTCCTCGACACTGGCCTTGCTCAAGTGCTGCCCAGAGGGACAGAGAAGGTAAAAGGAAAAGAGAGATGTTCCTGTTCTTTTTTACCACTATTTTTCATCTCCTCTGTTCCTGTTCACAGCTTGTAACATTCTATATTGTAAGGTGGTCCTTACTCTTGTTTGTAAAAGTGGGAGCAAACTGCTAGCTAGATGTCAGGTGTAAGGGAGGCACACCAGCTCCAACTTTAACTCTACAACAATTCAAGGCTGATTTGTATTTTGAAGTGTCACTATATGGTTTGCAAGGGGAAAAGCGTGACTGAAGATTGAGATTTTCCTTCTATAAATTGTGGAGGGGTGAGGGGGAAGTGACAGATCTCATTTAAAAATCTTATTGAAGTAGCCGTGTTGAATGATGGTGCCATTGCTTGTCTCTGTGTCTCATTGGAATAATGCAAGCCCTTTTATAATTAGAAGAAACCACAGAAGTCAAAGTACAACAGATCCAGAAAGAGCTGGAAACTTAAGGAAGAAATAAAAAAAACAACCAACAATAGACATGGGCTGGAGAAGATATTTTATTTATTTGTTACTAGTAGTTAAAATGACGTACAAAATGCTGGGAAGAAAAAACTCCAATTCTATTCAGTCACAAAATAATTAAAACTTCATTTTAAACCAAGTTTTCCTTTGTGAGACCGAGCATGAAAATACTGCAGCCTTAGGTTATATAGTCCATTGTTTTTAGAATAAAGCAGACATTTAAATACATATTGTGGTTGATATTAAATATCTCGTATAATTGTAAGTTTGCAGAACTTTCTTACTCTCAGACAATAACTAGCAATTCATAAAAGTTCTCTGTATAAAATTTACATATGGGGGGGGATCTGCCTCAAGGGGAGTTCCATGGCGATCTATGTATGCACAGGCTGTTTCGGAATATAAAAATTTGTAAAACTTTTATCAATTTTCCTTCAGAATGCTAGCCCAATCTTAAATAAAAGAGTCAATAATGTCTGAATCTTTGCTTAATGACCAAGGGTTTATGGACAAAGCAGTCACTGTAAAAGACAATGGGAGTTTTCCTGTCAACTTCACATGAAAAAAAAATTCATTCTTAAGGTGTTCCCATTTCCTGAACAGAAATCCTAGCTAGTACAAAACTTTCAGCAATGACTGAGATTGGCCTTTTCCCCTGCCAATCAACTCAAAAAAGTAATTTGAAGGAAACCAACCCCTGCCTATTATCAGTGAAAGAGGATTTGTATTAATAATAACATTAAATATCCATATCTTTCTGTTTAACTATTCACATTCCACACAGTGGAAATCTACCTCCCATAATTCCAGATTTTAAAATTGGATTTTAAAATCTATGAAGAAATGTGTCAAACCTGCTGAGTAAGAGTACACCAGATGAAATGCATTTTAATAATACCGGTCGATGAGTTGCCATCTCTTCATCTTACAAATGCAGACCTCACAGCAGTGGATTTTACAGTAACAATATGTTAATTGCAGAGATGTAGGATATCACCAATAACTGTGTGACCAATTGTGTGACAGCTGGGGCATCTGATAGAGAGAGGGCACACTGGATGCACCTGTGACATGCCACTCGCTGTGTATGTTTCGCTTTGGCCATGTCAGTAAAGGCAGAACTGTCTTCCTCAGCATTCAACAGGCAGAAACGCTGTCAAGATAACCAAGATAACCACCCTGCGGCTGCGCGAGGCAGCTGGTCTGAGGGAGGACAGTTACACCGACCGCGGGTGCTGCAGAGGATTGCTGTTGAGTGGAGAAACTGAGTCCTGGACTAGCTGAGCCCCATCACACGAGTGACTTGGACCTAACCCCCACTTCACTCACATCAGCGACATCGGGGTTGCTTTTAGGCCCGGCGCTGACTCTGGCATCGGAACGTGGCCATCCTTCGGTACCCCACCGGAACGCACCAGCTGTCGGGGCCGCAGGCGGGAAGTGTGCAGCGCTCGGTCATCTCTTCACCTCGCGGTGGGAAAGCGCCCGTGCAAAGCCAACGCCCAGCACAGCGTGAGCCGCTGGCACGCCACGCAGGGTGGGATG